GAACATGTGTCAATCACAGGAGGGTGGGTTAAAGAGGTATGGGCACAGTTTAGCGGGTTAGGAGCCAGGTCCTGGAATAATGTTTAACATATAGTAGGTACTCAGTAAATATTGGATGATGGATGGATGGTGCAAGCCCAGGTAAGTGGTTAAGCAGCTTATCATAATTCCAGAGCCTAGAACAATGGGAGTTGGCTCCTACCTGAGACAACCCCTCCAACCATTCTTCCCCCCCAGTTTATTAATTATATGTCTGTCACCCTGATTCTGTGGAGCCAGACATCCCTCTAGTTGCTACTTTGCTTGCTGTCTTACAGGCTCTTACAGTGCTAGCCAGGGTGTCAACTGCATCCGAGAAGATGTGGCTGCCTACATCACCAGGAGGGATGGCGGTGTGCCTGCAGACCCAGACAACATTTACCTGACCACTGGAGCGAGCGACGGCATTTCTGTATGTGTGAGGGTAGCTCGTTTTTACCCAGTGTTTACCCACATGAAGAATAGCCTTGCATGTGGGGGCCTAGTGTTTGAACTGATTAGCAAAGAACAGGCCTGGTAGGGAGGGCAAGCCACTCCTTGGTCCCCCTGTCCTGGTGGACTGCAGTCTTTGCCACTTTTAGTCTCTATCAGCCTGGGTACAACTGCAGCCTCAGTTTCCTTCCAGGGTACACACCAATAGGTTCTTTCAGCTGAAGAGGAGCTGTGGGCATTTGAGGGTGCCTATTGGCCTTTTTATCACTTGGCACCGATCGGTGTCCTCCTCTGCCAGGCTCTGAGCCAGATTCTGGGAAGACCTTAAGGAGACAAACACATCATGGGGCCTCTGTCTATACACTCGGGCTGGAGCAGACCAGTATTAACCTCTCATAAATAAAAGTCATATCACAAGTGTTCAGTTTCTCTTCTACAGTGAAGAGAAGGACAAAGTGCTATAGGAGGGAGCAACAGGGACTCTGGCCTGGTGTGACAGGGTCAGGAAGGCTTCTCCAAGGAAAGCTGAAGGATACACAGGGGTGAACTGGGGAGGCAGAAGAAGGAGTATGTTCTGAGCTGAAGGTCAACATATGCCTTGAGTGGCGGTCTGCTCAGTGTTTGGAGATGGAGTCTAGGTGGACACATGCACACAGTGAGGAACAGAGTTACCAGAAATATGGCCTGGGGAGACATGGTGGCTAAGTTCAGGGGGCTCTTAGAGGCTACCCTGAGGATTTAGGTCACTGGTCTAAGA